AACGATAAATGTTGGTGAAGATGTGGGGGAAAAGGCACACTCATACATTGCTGGTGGGACTGCAAATTGGTGCATCAACTATGGAAAGCAGTACGGAGATTCCTCAGAAAACTTGGAATGGAACCACCATTTGACCCAGGTATCCCTCAGTAGATGAAGGGATAAAGAAAATGTGGTATATATACTCAATGGAATATTACTCAGCTTTAAAAGGAGAGTAAAATTATGGCATTTGCCAGTAAATAGTTGGAATTGGAGAATATCATGATAAGGGAAATAAGCCCATCCCACAGAACCATAGATAAAATATTTTCCCTAATATGCAGATGTTAATTCACAATAAGGCAGGGGTGGGTGTGGGTGGGTGGGTACTAGGGAAGAATAGTGTTACCTTAGATTAGGTAGAGGGAAGTGATGGGAGAGGAGGGAAGGGGATGTAGGGATAGGAAAGACAGTAGAATGAAACAGACATTATTACTGTATGTATATATGTGACTATATGACCAATGTGATTCTGCAACATGTACACTCAGAAAAATGAGAAATTATATCCCACCTATGTATGATATATCAAAGTACATAAATGCATTCTACTGTCACATGTAACTAATTAAAACAAATCAAAAAATTTTAAAAAAAGAAAGAAAACAAACTCCTTACTTAGGGAACTTCTGGGGGAGGAGATAGGGGAGCCAGCCTTGGTCATTATAGTTAAAATACGACTTGTTCCTTCTGGACTGAAGAATGGACCTACAGAGCAGCGGGCGGCAGCAACAAGCTCAGGCCAGGTGGCAGCAAGGGCTTTGGTTTTAACTCTGGGGTTAAAGGTCGTGTGGTCATGAGCTCAGGAGCAACATCGTGTGTCCACTTTAGGGACACATAATGCCTGGCCTGCCACTGGCTTTCCCGGGGTCACCTGGGCACTGTCAGCACAGGGTGTGCTGTGAGAGCTGGACCCACAGCGGTCACTCAGGAATGCATTGAAGGGAGCCCTTCCCAGAGCGGGAAGACTGTCAGGCACGAGAAACCCCATCCATTCCCAAGAGTGCCGCGGCCAGGCCTGCTGCCCCCCACAGCCGGCTTGATAGAGCCAGCTCTGTGGCCCTGACATGACAGGAACTGATCCAAAAGGGCCCTGGGGTATTTATTTCCCAAATGGCCTTTGATGTTTTGGGAGAGGAGTGGAGGCAGCAGGGCAAAGAAGGTGAGAGTGGTCAGCTTGGGGGACACTGTCTTGCAGTCGCAAGGACAGCGTCTTGGCAGAGTCCTGTCCGTCCTGTGCCCACTGAGCCACTGGTAAAGGCCACAGGGAGCACCGTTACTCAGCTTCCTCCCTCAGCTGTCCCCAGAGGAGGGTCTGGGCCAGGAACCCAGCCCAAATGCAGCCTGCAGCCTGTCCCATTGCTTAACCTGTCGAAAAATTCAGAGTGCAATCTGGTCCCGAGACTGGTGGGCAAACCCCAGGAGGGCTTTTGTGTTATTGTTTCCTTTTCACTTTTTACCTTCTTTCTTTAACTTGAGGAGGCACTGGGTTTTGTTTTGTTTTGTTTTTTTTTTTTGGTCCTCCTTTTGGTCAACTTTATTTTGGAATTCTTTTAGATTTACAGAAAAGCTGCAAAGTGTGTGAGGAGCTCCCACATCCCTTTCACCCCTTGACCCTTGAGGGGCATCTGTCATGGCTGAGAAGTGTATGGGTCAGCAGCCGCCAGGCTGGAGCGCGTCTCTGTCTTTCATGCATGCTGCCCTTCTCTAGGAGGCAAGCTGGGCTCACTGATGCCTTTTGATATAGCTTTTTAAAAGAAGTGCAATACTTACCGAGGTATTTTAATGGATACCACAAAAATATATTATTATCATATCAACTAGTACTACAGCTTGGGGCAAATTAAACGATAAAAGCAAGTCAATTCGAAGGAAAGTGTCATAAATATGAATGGAGATGGCACACAGCTGGGCTAAGAGCAAAGCCACAGGGAGCGGAGGGCTCACTTATCACCCCCGCCCCCCCGCAAGTTAGAAGCAAAGTCCTGGGGGTGTGTAGGGATGGGGACGTACATCCCAGGACCCCTTATGCCCCTATAGTGACCCTCTTTTGGCCTGGGAGCTTGAGGGTAAGGCAGGAGGTGGAGAGGAGAGAAACCTCAGTGGGAATGAAGTTTCCATTTCAATTATTCAGCTGATCCTTGACCCCCATTACCATAGACAAATCAAAAAGTGGCTGGATGCACGAAGCTTTAAGTAAAAACAAGCATCAGTTAAGTGGCCCCAAGGATGGGAAGTGCAGCCAGATAATCGCAGGGGTGCTCATCCAGTTCCACATTTCCATATGCACAGAAGGAGAAGGACAGCCACCATCCGGCTGTCACACCTCTGTCGAGTGCTCCTTCCTGAAGGGGCTCAACAGGTACAATGCCGTTTTTCCTCATGCAGGGGTGATGGGGAGCCTCTTCTGACAATGGAGGGACCTGTGCAGAGGCCATTAGGGGAACCAGACCCCCAGAGGGAACCAGCTGAAGGTGAAGCTGAGTGAGTGTACGTGTGCAAGCAGACCAGCACTCCTCCGTGGAGTGTAGACCAGGGCCTGGAGCCTTCCTGGCCTCCCTCCGCGGGCAGGCAGGTTCCACCTGTTGTGTAGGTTGCAAGGCTCCCCAGGCTGGGTCAGTGAAGGCAGGGGTCTGGCCAGGGCTGACTGTGCCTGGCAGAGGTGAGGGGGTGCAGTGCACACGGGTGTGTGTTGGGCAGAGACAGGCGCTCACGCTGCTGGTGAGAGGGTAAAGGGCAAGGGCAGGGATCCAGAAGCAGAACCATATGTTGAGCATGGGAACAATGGTTATCTGTCGTGAGAGACTTGGGAGGTCTCAATTCCTCTAATTGTGGCTGTGGCCCCTAGGCTCATGCTGAAATGAACAAGGACATTCATCCTCCTCCACCCTGCTCATTTATTTATCACATATTTTGAGACCAGTCTCTGGGGAGAGCATGGTCAGCAGCAGGCTGTGGCGACAGGGCTGAGCCCTGGAGGAGCCATGGAGATGTGTCTGACCGTTGTCACCCACGTGGCTGCCCAGGCAGCAAGAGGTGATACACAGTTCCCTGCTTGCATGTGAGGCTGTGCTGGGCCCTTGTCCCAGCTGTCCTTTCAAACATGCCAGGTGACTCCGTTTGGCAAGGCTCTGCTGGTGACTTTCTGCCCCCTGGTTGCACATGTGGCACTGGGGAGGGTCCTGGGACCGAGCCCTGAACTCCCCCCAAAAACAAGGGAGTATCCTGCATCTGCCTGCTGGCTTCCTGCCAGCACATGGTGTGAGGCCGCGAGGCTTCTGTGGCCTGTCTGAGTGTGCCTTCTTCCCACCCGTGTGCTTCCCAACAGGGTCTGGTGTCCTCTCTTGTTTGGCTGCTTGTCCACTTAGCTGCATCAGAGTTTTGTCTTAAAGAGCAGCTTCACAGACTGCAATTTGCCAAAGAGCCTTGCTCTTGGCAAGAAAGTTATTTATCTTTTTTTGTTTGTTTGTTTCCTTAGAAAAAGAGGCCTGAGAAAGCGAATTGATTCTTTGAAAGTAATTTTTCTTTTTGGTGACTGTGGCCTGACGTTCCACTCTCTGGCTATCTGTTGCATTCTGTGTCGGTCAAACTGCATCGTGGTGCTTAGAGACATCGAGGGTACATTTGTTTAATACTCAGCCACAACTCACAAGACCATTCGAAAGTGCACCATGTGAGAGTGCAGTCAGTGGTTAGCACGGCCACACATCCTCATGGTGATCTGCTCCAGAGCCCTTTCAAGAGTCTGGAGGAAACCTGTGCCCTCCAGCACATGCTTCGGCTTGCCCCACCCCCCCAATGCCCAGACCCTGGCAACCACTGCTCTACCTTCTGTTGTTACAGATCTGCCTCTTGTGACATTTCATCGAAATAGAATTACAAGGTATGACTCTGGTGTCACTTTCTCAAGGTTTCCCTGTTATTGCCTCAAGATTGTCCCCCTCTTATTGCCTCAAGATTGTCCTGCCTACCGGAAGCCCACATTCTTCTTTTCTGGTCCATATTTGATACTTTGTTTTTAATCAGACCACTCCAAAGTCTTTGTTTATAAAGTAGCTTTGTACAGGAAACCTTTCCATTAATTCATTTCAATGAAGTACATTCCCAGTGAAACTTAGAAGGAGAGGCAAACGGAAGTCTTTTAAAGTTCTGGAGACAGATTCTTTCCTGAGGATGTCCTTGGTAAAGGCCAGGGAACAACTGGCCAGGTCCAGCGGGGAGTGGGCTTGGCAGCTGCTTGGGAGACCCTGTCCCCCCTTTCTGGTCTCATCTCCCCTTTTCATAACTCTCTGACTCTGTCCTTTGCGTCTTCAGTCCTTCCAAGGTCAGCAAGTAGAGCCCAGCCTGCAGCAGAGGCAGAGACTCCCCTTGAGAGCATAATTAAAGGCAGAGGCTCATCCTTCAGATCATAACTCAGTACAAAGTTTTAAAACAGAAATCAATGCAAATAAATTTATATTGAGCACAACATCAAAATTATTAATAAAGCCAGCATCCCAGTGACCATGGCTGCTCCCCATCCCCTGCCTAGCCACCTGCAATGGAAATGCTCATTCTGGACCCTTGGGAACCTCCAGAGTTACAGTGGAGGCTCTGCTAACCCCATCTCCAGGGAAATGCACACCCTGGCTCTCCTTCTTACTAACCTGTGCAGAACAGTCTTGTCTCTAATGCAATATTTTGTACACCTACCTTCCCGGGAAGCAGTCTCCATTCATAGGTTGTTAGATCAATAGCCACACTTCTAAAGATCTGAGCTGTGTCTGTACTTTTTTTTTTTTAGGTCTCTGCTTCTCTCTCTTCCTGTTTTCTAAGGGTTGCTACTGTCACATAAAGTAACGTATAGACAATAATTGACTTCCTTTTTCTGAACCCGACAAGTTTCATCTCTGCTCGAGTCTCTTCCAGGTTACCCAAAATGGTGCTTTTCTCAGTTAAACATGGAGTTGACTCAAAGGACAAGCACTGGGAGGCCCTTCTCTTTTATTTTACTTTCTAAGGTGCTTGGAACCTCTCTGTGCTCTGAGATGCTGCCCATGGAGCAGGAACTGGTAGAGAACACCAGATACCTTCTCAGCAAAGAGGAGCAAGTCCCCTGCAGAGTGTGGCGAGGCGCCTGGAGTTCAGTTCTCCTCTGTGCAGCCAGCCTGGGGTCCTTTCTGGATCTGTGGATTTTGTCTCCAGACTGGGCCAGGCCGTCTGGGTCCGAACAGGTGTGTCTCTGGTTGGAAATGCACCTCTCTTTATGAAGGTAGGTGACTGCCCCAGGGCACAGATACAGAAGGGGCCAGTTATTTATTTATTTATTTTTAACCAACAAGCTCTTTTACCCTGTGTTCTTAATGATATATTTGTCTCCAAACCCACAGTTAAAAAGAAATGCTACGTGAAAACTGGGTCTGACCCAGTTCAGTAATTCTCCTGTGTGCCTACCACCACTGTTGTGTTTGTCAAAATATTTACTGCAATTTATAATGGCTGTCAGAAACCAGGCTCACAATCCATGTTCTGCTAAACTCGAATACATTTGTAAGGAAATTTAGTGCTTTATAAGCTGTATTTTTTTCCCCCAATGATGGACCTAATTACATTGAAGATGTGAATTGGTTAACAACATACATTATATTAGCACAAGAGTTTTAAACAGAGTATAATCTGACTATCAAGGTATTTGATAGACATGCTATTTATAGCAGCTGCGCTAATCAGTCACCCAAGGGTAGCATTTTTTAGTGAGATTTACAGGGGCCAAGGAACCATGTATTTATACACATATTTGGCTTCCCAGCCTCCAAAATAGCTGAGGGCTGGAGAGAATCTCAGATAAGCCATGGAAGCCAGGTTCTGAGTGGCAACATGTCTCTCCTTTCCCGTAGCAAATCTTTCTGTAAGAGTGACACCAGAGATCTTATCTGCTGAAATGCAGCGAGGACAGGATTCAACCTAGAGGACGATTACCGTGGCTGGTGGGGAGACGCAGTGTCAGCATCAGGGCCGGTCTGAAGGAATGTGCCTGGAACCACCCACACTCTGTATTCAGGACCACAGGCTCATACCAACCGCAGACCCCAGAAGCCAAGCCATGAGGATGGGCTGGGAAACTGGGGATGGGGCCAGTCATGGGGGGGTGCTCCACGTGAGCAGGGCAACCTGAAAGGACCGAATTGACTGCAGCACAGCTGCCTGGGGAAATGAGCTCACAGCGAGGGGCCAGGGGTCAGCAGCCAGAGAGACCTTTCTCCTGGCAGGCAGCGCAGCAGCATGTCCGCAGAGACCAAAGCTGGAAAAGGGGGTTGATGAGGGGGCAGACTCACGGGGAGCCCGCCCTGTGCCAATAGTCACATCTGTGACTCTTCTGATCTTCAACAAAGGAACGAGAGCCCACTGTGAGAAAAGGGAAACAGCAGGGCGCATAGAAGTGACTTGTTCAAGGTCACAGGGGTTGTAGGTAGCCAAGGGGCAAAGGTGGGTCCTGTCTCCCAGGCCCGGGGCTCCACTTCCCTTGCCGTCCTTGCTAGGGTGGTGCGGCAGAGGGGCCAAACCATTCTGGAACTTCACGCTGAGAAAATTCTGCAGCTGTAGCTTGGGCATGGGGCGGGGGCCCTGACCTGAGGGCTGGCTGACCCCCGTGTGCTGGCTCCTCATGTGTGTCTCTTTAGCTGTGCCTTCTTTGTGATGACTTCTGGTTGGCAGCCGCTCTGAAGCGTTTCCATGTATGGTAGCAACGCAAGCTGCCTTTGAACACAAGTGTATGTGGACAAAAGTGAGTTGACACAAATGAAATGGGGTGGAGGAAAATGGCCTGTGAGAGCCGGTATTTCTTCCAGAGGGGCCAGGTGCCCATGGCCAGGGCAGGGTTTTAGGTCTTATGCATCAAATAACATTAACTCACACTGAGAATGTTGTTCTGATTCTGTTTGTTTATGATTTTTTTTAAAATAGCCTCTTTGTTTTGAGATAATTGTAGATTCACATAGAGGAGGAAGAAAAAAAGCAAAGTCCCCGCGTACGTTTTACACGATTTCCTTCCGTGATAGCATCTTCAAGTTGTAGTCTGATATTGACAGTGACTGAGTCAAGGTACAGAACATTTCCATCACTGCCAGGACCCCGGGGCTACACTGACTTTCTCCTGCTCTTCCCATCTATTCCATCCCCCTAACCTGTGGCACAGGCAACAACTTACCCATCTGGTCTGCAGTTCTGGAATTGGTCATCTCAAGAGCATTGTTTCGTGCGCAGCCCTTGGGCATTGGCTTTTTTCACTGAGCATAATTCCTCTGGAAATTCATTCAAATCCATGTCAACAGCTTGTTCTTTTTTCACTGCTGAGTAGTATTTCACTGTAGGAAAGTTCTGTTGAAGGGCGTCTGGGTCGACTCCCACCTTGGACCATCATAAAGCCAGTGCTCTGAGCATTCACAAACAGGTGTTCCTGTGTCCATGTTTCCTTGGCTCTGGGGCGAATTTCCAGGAGCACCGATGTTGGGTGAAGGCGGGCTGCATGTTTAGCTGCACCCTCTTGGGATGGCTGTGCTACTTTACTTCCTAGCAGGGACATACCCAGCACGTCCGCGTCCTCACCGGCATTCTTTATGGTTGCTTTCTGAAAGGAGCACAGAGATGTCTCGTCGTGGTTTTCAGTTGCATTTCCTTGGTAGATAATGATGGTGAACGTTTTTTGGTGGTGTGTCATTTGCCATCAGTTTATCTTCTCTGGTGATTTGTCTCTTATATCTTTTGTTCATTTCCCAACTGGACTGTTATTGGATTTTTTTTTTTTTACTCTTAGTCTTTACTCTTATTCTTAGTTCTTTCTACATTCTAGATGTGCGTCCTTTGACAGATCTGTTGCTGCAAATATCTTCTCCAGGTCTACGGCCAGTGTTCTCTAATTCTCTTATTACAAGCAGGGACTTTTACATAGTAAAAAGTTTTAATTTTAATGAGGTGAGACTTATCAATTTTTCTTGTGTGGCTCGTGCAAGTCTAGAAACTCCTTCTCCTGTCCTAGATTCGGAGCATCTTCTCCTACGGGTTTCCCCTAAAGCTGTGTAGTTCTGCGTTTCATATTCAAGCCTGTTTTGCATCTGAGTTAACTTTTGTGCATGTGAGGTGTGAGGTTTAGGTGTCAACTCTCAGTTTTGCTTTTGGCAATGGAAGTCACTTGCCCCAGTGCCTTTGTTGAAAGGCTGCACTTTTGCTACAAAAATTGCTTTGAACCTTTGTCAAAAAATCAGTTGGGCATATTTATGCAGCTCAATTTCTCTTTCATTATTATTATTCTTATTCTGCTCTGCTGATCTATTCCTATGTCTATTCCTCTGACAATACAGTCTTGATTACTGTAGCTCTATAATAAATTTTCAAATCAGGTAGACTGGTTCTCCCACTTTATTATCCTTCTTCAAAATTGTTTGAGTTATTCTAGTTCCTTTCCCTTTCTATATAAATTTTAGCTTTTTAGAAAACCTTACTGGGATTTTGATGGAAATTGCAAGAAGTCTGTATATCAATTTGGGGAAAATAGACATTTTTACTATGTTGAATCTCCTCATCTGTGAACACAATATGCCTTTCTATTATTTAGGGTTTATTTTTTTTTAGTTTATTCATCAGTGTTTTATGGGTTTCAAGATATAAGTCCTGCACATGTTTGGCTAGATTTACACCTAAGTATTTTATTTATTTATTTTTTTGAGTGAGTGGAAATGGCATTGTGTTTTTAATTTTGGTTTCCAATGATTCACAGCTAGCTCTAGACATGCAATTGATTTTTGAGTGTTGATCTTGTACCCTGCTGACCTCACTTATTAGTCCTAGGAGGGCTTTTTGGGGGGAGGGGTGGGGATTCCTTAGGACTCTCTACAGGGACAATCAAGTCACCTGCCAGCCGGGGCAGGTTTGCTGGTCCTCTGCTGTCATGTCTTCCCTGTAGTCTGCATTTCTCCCCACCCTACTGCACTGCCTAGAATTCCAGGGACCTGTTGGATCAGAGCAGGGAGAATGGGTGTCTCTGTCTTGCTGTCATCTCAGGGGAGAAGACGGTATGTGATGTTAGCTCTACGGTCATGTCAATGCTCTTTATCACATTAAGAGGATCCCTGTTGCTATTTCTTTCTTTCTTTCTTTTTTTTTTTTTGTTTAAGTACCAGGGATTAAACCCAGGGGCTCTGAGCCACATCCTCAGCCCAGTTTTTAAGACAGGGTCTTGTTAAGTTGCTTGGGGCCTTGCTCACTTGCTGAGGCTGGCCTGAAACTTGCCATCCTCCTGCCTCAGCCTGTGCTTATGGCTATTTTTCAGAGATATTTATTCAGGAAGGGTGTCAATTTCTCAGAGGCGTTCCCTTGTTGATTATTTCTCTTCACTGGGCTGGTGTAGTGGTTTGCACTGCACACACCCCTGCAGCCCCCGGTCATGGTGTGCAACTCTTTCATATCATAGAATATGAATCCTATGGCTAGTACCTTCTGAAAGCTTTTTTATCTATGCTCCTGCGGGATATCCGCCTGTGCTTTCTTTCTCATACTGTGTGGTGTCAAGATAATACCTAGGTTCTTGAAATGAACTGAAAGCATTCTCTCCTTCTCTGTTTTCTGGAAGAGATTATATAGAATTGGTGTTGACTCTTCTTTAAAAGTTGGGCAGAATTCTCCACATCGGGGCCTGGGGACTTCTGATGTGGGAGTTCAAAATCACAGGTTCAATTTGATGAGTTATAGTGCTATTCATACGATCTGCTTCAGATTAGGTGGGTTCTGGGTAGCTTGTGCTTCTTGAAGGACTGGTCCATTTCATGGAGGCTGTCAGATGTCAGTAGTACAGCGGCTTCCTCCTGAGCCTCCCGGTGCCCAGGGGGCTGTAGCGATGGCCCCTGGCTTGTTCCTGCTATCGACAGTCTGTGTCTTCTCTAATTTTTCATTTGTCTTTGAAGAGATTCTGAATCAATTTTATCAATCTTGCCCGAGAACAAGCTTTTTCTTTCATTGATTTTTCTCTATTATTTTTGTTTCAATTGTATCGATTTCTCCCCCATCTCTGTTATTTCCTTCCTTCTTCTTGCTTCAGGCTTTTCTTTCTTTCACTCGATGGGCGCAGGGCTTGGAACTTTGACTGGAAACTCTGTCTTTTCTAAGGTAGGCACACAGCGCTGCACCTTTCCCTCCCAACCCTGCTTTAACTGTGTTTCACAAATTTTGAGCTGTTGTACTTTTGTTCTCCTACACCAGCGTATCTTTTTTATTACTCCT